CGCCCCCCCCCGCGCCACAGCCGGGGCGGAAAAGCGTCTGAACCTGTGACCCGACCGTTTCATCTGCTTTGGGACAGCCCCGTGCTCTCAGCCTTTCGCCAGGCTGCCTGTGCCAGCAGTGACTAGCCTACATCTGGCCCCACAGGACTGACCTCTCTCGGGAGTTTGTCATTCTGCTGACTATGTTGCTTCAAAATTTTTAGAATCGAAAGGATGGTGCTGTCGGTTTTGTGCATCACAGCGTGAGGAAATCTAGTTTATAATCGCTGCGCATTCTTGCAAGTATATATTTATACTTTGATCACCCTTGCTGAATGAGTTACTACGCTGTGTATACTTCCCAAACAATAGCCTGCATGTGGACTTTCAAACCCCATCAAGTAGTAATTACCTGGGATTGCTGGCTTTCACAGAGCAGTCTTCACTGTATTGCCAAAAGTCAGAGGAACCAGCATCCAGATACTCTTGGGTGGGAGTGAGCATCTTGCAAAAATTAAGATCTCATTGCTCTGCAGCCTTTGCTCCTCATCCCAAGTCTCCACCAAGTTTTCACCAGTCAGTCTGCCCCCAAAATGGTACTCAATCCAGCTAGGCACCTGAGCCATGCATTGGTTTCATGAACAAAGGAGTGTCATTATGTACAGCTGTCTTCTAATTTGTATAGGCATAGTTCTTTGCTGAGATTGTACTGGGTGTATCTTTGGCCGTGGTGTTCAACATGCTAGCCACATGTAGCTATTTGGCAGGTTGAGTGTAGCTAGTTCACTATAGCTTCAGAACTGGTTGGACACCAGGGATCTATGGCCTTCATCAGCCAATTGACTACATTTCCAGGAATTCAGTCAGAAATGGGCTTTGGTTAGCATAGAGACAACTGAACTTTTGTATATGATCTGTAGTGCAGTTTATACAGAAAATTGTATCAATCTTGGGGGAAAATTCTGAGATCCTCATTAACAACTTTCCCTTTTTTGGGAGCTGTCTGATCATTATAAGCCAAAGTACCTAACTGCTGGAATGAGTATTGTGTTGGGATACTGAACTGTTTCTAGAACAAATGCTATTATAAATGTTTAGGTGTTAGTTTCTAATATAGATTGACCTTGTGTTGTTTGATTTGGGAATATGAAAAATCCATCTTTTTTTCTTCCTTGCTCTTATACTTTTTCCTTCTTTGCACTTCTTCTCTCCAGACTTCAAGATAAACTTTTTTTGTTTCCTTCAAAAGCATATTAATAGTTTTCATTATCCGACCCTTCCACATCTACTTTTCTTGCCTTCCAGGAAAAACCTGGAAGAAATAAAATGTCATAAATCCTGAAGGTAATCAAATTTAAACAGTGGTGACTCATGGTGCCTTGCTTATGTGTAGTATGCCAACCCTAGGAGGGTTGTTGGCAACATGGATGGAACAGAGGACATCTGTGCTACAAGACGTTGCTCTCTTAGCTCCAAGACCTATAAATCTCTGCAGCCTACTTATTAGATGGAGGCTAAAGTATGGCATACAGATGGAGATTGGTCTAAGTAAACAGATGTAGGACATCTCAGAGAGGTAGCTGTGTTAGTCTATAACTTCAAAAACAGCGAGCAGTCCTGTGGCACCTTAGAGACTAACAGATTTATTAGGGATTTTTGTGGGTAATAAAACCCAATTCATCAGTTGAGTTAGAGTGGAAATGATAGAATCCAGGTTATATATATACCTGCAAAAGAAGTTACCTATAATTTGTAGGCTCAATCAACTGTAGGACAAGTAATTTCTTTTGCAGTTATATATATACCCTGGATTCTATCACTTCCACTCTAACTCATGACCTAATACATTTGTTAGTTTCTAAGGTGCCTCTGGACTGCTCATTGTTTATGATGTAGAACATGTGAAGGAGTGAATTTCCTTGCTGTGACAGTCTGTACTGAACTCTTACTGTAATTTTAAACCTAGTCTTTAATCTTTTAATCCACATTTTGTACAGTGACCTTTATGTTTTTGTTTTTTAGATAAAGAAAAGGAGAAGGAAAAACTTGAGGAGGATGAAGCAGCAGCTGCCAGCACTATGGCAGTCTCTGCCTCCCTCATGCCTCCCATCTGGGACAAAACCATCCCTTATGATGGGGAATCTTTTCACCTGGAATACATGGATCTGGATGAATTCCTCCTGGAGAATGGAATCCCTTCTAGCCCTGCTCACATAGGCTTGAACCAGAACCCACTCCTGCCTGTGGCTGAGCTGGAAGGAAAAGAGCCTGCCAGTGCATCTGCTGCATCTCCTCCCTCATCATCATCCACTGTAGTTTTCCAACCATCTGAAGCTGCCTCCGGCTCAGGTAGGTAAAATACATTGAAACAATATCACAATCTCTCTTGTTGTGTTGTGTGTAGAGGCTTCCTTAACCTGGGGAAAAGCACTACTACCCTGCTAAGTTTAGCTTCAGAAGCTTAAACAGCATAAATATGTTTAGTCTATAGCAGCAGTGGGCAACCAAGGTTAGTGAGTGGTCCACATGAGTGGTCCTCCTTCATCCAAGTGGGCTGCAAGATTGAAATCTGGTTAGTGCACGTCAGGACCCCAAAGTAAAATTAAATACAGTGCACTTCATTTTTTTTCCTTTATCGTGCCTTTTCAACATAAAGCAATCGCAAATTAAATTGCTGACAAAAATAACAAAGAAACGGAGGGGGTACACATGCCCTTGTTTTTAATGCACGTAACTTCTCATTTTGCCGGGGCTATTCAACTGTTCCCTCCTCTCCAGACTCTGCATTCACTCCACCCTTCCTCTCCCCTCAAAGCCCCCTCACTATTTCCAGAACGCAGTGAATCTGTTGATTCACACCCCTTCCCCACTCCTCCCCCTTTATCCCAGAGCTTGAACACCATGAATTAGAATTTGGAACATTCAAGCTCTGGGATCCAGGGGAGGAGCAGTGTCAGGCACATGCCAGCTGATTCACTGTATTCCAGAAGTGCTGTGGTGGGGGAGTGGGGGAGGGGGGCCCCAGCATGAAGGAGTAGGGAAGTGGGGGGGCCCAGCATGAGAGAAGGGGGGGGCGGTTTTGGCCCACGCACATAACTCTGATGGGCTGTAGGTTGCCTGTTGCTGGCCTGTAACATTTAATTCCTCTGTAAAATCTCTGTTAATCTTTATGAAGAGGTTTTTCCCACCTCAAAAATAATTTATTGCCATTGCCACTTAGCCAGTTAACATTCAGTGTATCTGATTGCAAATTTTGTGGATGAAAGAGCACAACTAAAGTAACAACCAGACCAGATTTTCTCCCACAATTGAGGCTGAACTTTTTTGAGGTTTTAAGGTTTTTTTGTTTTTGTTTTTTAATCACATTGCTTCTGTGCTGCTTTGCTCCTGTGCTACTTTGTTTCTATTTGAAATTAGAAAATCTGAGATACCAACAAAATTAGCCTTTCTCATTGTTACTTTTAATCTAGCTAGAGTCTGGAATTCCGTGAATTCTTGCAAAAGAATTTGTTGTTATAAGGTCTGCAAACTTGATAGGCTTTTGAACACCTTAGTGGTTCAGCCCATTGGGGGTAAACCATTAGTAGTTAGTGTAAATCCAATGAACTGTGCTTTATGGAAGTGTTGTTATAAAGCCTTTCATCTGGCTTGTGAAATGTAACGGCTACGTTTTTTGGACAGGGACTGTTTATACTGTACTTTTGTTTGAAGCTCCACAGAATGCTTGGAATTATCTTGAATACCTGAGGTGAGACAGGAGAGACAAAGAGATAAAACACGTTTCTGGCGCTTCCATGTTACCTACCGTCTGATCCTAGAGAGTAGTGTACATGCTTTTCAGTAGGGATGTAAAGGAGTAGTCAGCTACACCATAAGCCTGTGTCTCCACTCTCACCCCCTTGTTGCTCAGCTCCTACTGCCTTTTAAACTGCAGAGCCATAGTGGGGTTTGTTCCTGCACCCAGTGTGAGCCGGGACTAAGCCAGGCTGCCTACCAACTAATCAAGTAGTTAAATTACCTGCATTTTAACATCCCTGCTTTTCAGTTTAGTGCTGGACTTGGGAACTCCACACAATAATGCTGCCCAGACTTAATGACTCTTTTGTGAGAAAATAACTTGTGAGAAGCCTTTATGGAAAGGGCTTGAACCCCCTCCCCACAAACCTGGCAAATAAATGCCCAAGCTTTTCAGTAGGGATGTAAAGGAGTAGTCAGCTACACCATAAGCCTGTGTCTCCACTCTCACCCCCTTGTTGCTCAGCTCCTACTGCCTTTTAAACTGCAGAGCCATAGTGGGGTTTGTTCCTGCACCCAGTGTGAGCCGGGACTAAGCCAGGCTGCCTACCAACTAATCAAGTAGTTAAATTACCTGCATTTTAACATCCCTGCTTTTCAGTTTAGTGCTGGACTTGGGAACTCCACACAATAATGCTGCCCAGACTTAATGACTCTTTTGTGAGAAAATAACTTGTGAGAAGCCTTTATGGAAAGGGCTTGAACCCCCTTTCCACAAACCTGGCAAATAAATGCCCAAAATGGAGTACAAGGGTTTGCAGCAGGAGAGAGGAAAGAAGCCACGCATCAAGTGCTCACTTGTGAGCTCCATGTTTATATAAGATGGCTTTTGGTATAGTTTTTTGTTGATGTTTTTCCTGAACTCCTATGTCAATTTGTTAATGTTTTACTGTATTGATATGTGGCTGTGTTTCACTGGAGGAAGAAGAGATTCAATCTTCCCAGCTTATATTTCACCTAGCACAGTGGTTCCCAAACTTTTCGACATCACACCCCCTTTTTGTTTTTTGAGAAACCCTTATGCCCCCTCCTCCCAAAAAAATAGCAGCAAAACTTAGGATGGGATTGACGGGGATGTGTGTGGCTGGATTGCCTTGCGCCCCCCCTGGAATTTCTTCACGCCCCCCAGTTTGGGAACCCATGACCTAGCAGTAAATTTTGCAGTTCATCTATGTGAAAAAAGTTACAGATATAAGGTTACTGTAATGTGTCTATTAACTCATATCTTCAAAGATCATGCCACAAATCTGTTTGTCACAGTACATATTTCTTCCAAATCAGGCCCTTTGTTGTTATACTTTAATTTACATATAACAAATAGGGACGAATATGATGTATGGGTTTTTATCAGACTTCTGTTTTCATGCTTTTTTTTGAAAATGTCATTTTTGTCTGGTCTTTATTGGACCGAATGAGAAATCTCCAAGATGGCTTATGTCTGTGGCAATTTGAGCCATAAATGTCAGGACAGGAGCTCTCAACTTCTGATTTAATTTTGTTGGAGAAAGTATTCCTTACATGTAGTGAAGTGCACAAGGCCACAAGATTTTTGCTGATGGGAGGAATTTTCATATTTTTGTACCATTTTTATCTTCCTATAGCTGCTATTCTGGGTAGGCATGCCTAGGGCTTGTATTTCATCCATGATGAAGGAGGTTATCCAGCATTTTTGCATTAGGCTTCATCCTCTTGCAAGGGATGAACTGTGTTTTGTACAGTACTGAGCACACCATTGAATAGTAGTGATAAATATTGCTTACATAAGGACAGTGAGAAGAGATGTCCCCTTATGGGTGCTGAATTTATTTTCTTCATCATGCTGATGTCATTGTAACGTTTTCTGCCTTTTGCTAGAATCCTCCCCAGAGAGTGAGAGAGAAACGCCAAGCCCCATTGATCCAGACTGCATTGAAATTGATGTGAACTTTAATCCTGACCCTGCTGACTTAGTGCTCTCCAGTGTGCCGGGTGGTGAGCTCTTCAATCCTCGCAAGCACAAGTTTGCTGAAGAGGACCTGAAACCACAGCCCATGATTAAAAAAGCCAAGAAGGTTTTTGTCCCAGATGAGCAAAAGGTAACAGGTTTCTTATATCATACTGATAAGGCTTTATTCAGAATGTGTGTGGGGTGTCTCTCTTTTGTCTATCAAAATATAGTTAGGGTAAGGCAAAGGGGCCATACCTACAGGGTTGAGTGGGGAACATTGCTCAAAATAAGTTAATCAGGCTGATTCCTGTTCATCTGAAAAGCCCTTACTGCTTTGTTAACTTGGAACAGTGAGTGAATTGTTGTTCAGGAGTGGCTGGTGCTGGTAGACACAGAAAAGGATGGAAAAAGTAAAGGTTCATCTACACTACACAGCTTTTAGCAACAAGTCTGTGTTGACGCAGCCTTATCACTAAAAGTCAGCTTGAGTGAATATGGTTTGTCAGCACTTTGGCCGACAAGATGATTTTGTTTTGTTGTCAGGAGAGTGCGCCTGCTGGCAAACAAGTGTTCACATTTAACTTGCTGCCGCAAAACTTTGTTCATGGGGAGGGGCAGGTGTTTAGGCACCCATGAATGACAGAACTTTTGTAGATCAAGTGCAAATATAGACCTACCCTAAGTTATCTTTGCTCTTTCCTCCTTTGCTCATTCTCGCTAATGCCAATTTATATCCCATAGTTTGTGTCTTGATGGTCATATACTTATTTGTCAATGCTTTTGTCTAGTCTAGTTTTAAATGCCCCAGACAATGAACATTAATCACTTTCAGTGGGAGGACTGTTTCGCAAGCTAATAGAGCCCTATGCAGAGATAAAATTAGTATCTGCATTCACAGAAATGATCTGTGGATATCCACATCCATGGATGCAGATATAAACAGACACCTGCAAATGTTTAAGATGCTAAATACAAATTTTGCATCTGTAGCTGCAAAAATGAGCCATGGATATCCACATCCATGTTCTTGGATGCAGATATAAAGTGGATAGCTGTGGATTTGCAGGGCTCTACTAATAGACTTAGGTATTAATAAACTGTTCTTGATATCTAGCAGAAATGTTACCATTGTTTAATTTCATCTCAGTTTTGGTCCCCGTCATGTTACCCAACCCAAAACTGTCTCTTCACAAGAAGTCTATTTAGAACAATCTTCCAGTACTGTGTTGCCTACGCTTCAGTTAGTGTCTGAGCCTAGCCCAACCAGCAACTTCCTGCATGAACTAAGGAAGAAGTAAGATTGCAAGTAGGATGGCTTTTATGGTAGGGCAGGAAGGTAGCTGTGTGACATTGGATATGGAATACCGAGCTGTCAGACTGTCACTTTTTTTTTCTTTATGCAGGATGAAAAATACTGGACAAGGCGGAAGAAGAACAATGTGGCAGCAAAGCGTTCCCGTGATGCTCGGAGACTGAAAGAGAATCAGATCACAATCCGAGCAGCCTTCTTGGAGAAGGAGAACACTGCCCTCAGGACGGAGGTGGCCGAGCTACGCAAGGAAGTGGGGAAATGCAAGAACATTGTCTCTAAATATGAGACCAGATATGGACCCTTGTAAGCACACCCTCTTTCCTTGCTACTAGGGCTTCTTGTTTAGCTCTTGGACTTTTCTGCCTTCTCTAGAGACTCCCAGATATAACGTGTGGAGGCTTTGTCAATGTGCGTCTCTAACATAGATCCACTTCTGATAGCACAACTTGGTCAGGTCCTTGCCTGACCCTTGTGGTGCCAGAATCTAAGTTGTGCCCATCTTTAGAGATTTGTTTTAACACTGCAAGAACAGTTGATGATGCTAATCCAAGAGAATGGATTCATCCATCCAGGGGAATAAAAATGAACCTGTCTAGATTGTTGGATAAGGCTTTTGCTTTCTGTTTTAATCTCCATTTTAAATGGAAAGAGCTGTCTGAAGTGCAAAAGTCTGCTGTCCCTGTTTCTCTTATAAATCTTAGTTTTATAATTTGGGATACAAATGGATGCTGCTGGGCAGCATCATAAATAAGTTCATTCTCCAATTCCTACATACTGGAACGTAGCTGAGCAGCGCCTATTGTGGCGGGGGGGGAGGGGGAGTCATAACAACTCTGTGCTCCTGTTCAGGAGGAACAGAGAACCCTCCTAGGCCTGGGAACTGTCTTCTGCAGAGGTGAAGATAGCATTCAGATGAACATGCATTTGTGAGCGCAGACAACAAAGTAATGAACACTGTCTCTAAACAATACTTACACGTTTTTCTTTGGCTAACTCCCAGACCACACAATGAGGTGCAGGGCAAAGAGCCCCATACTTCTTTCCTAACATGAGGTAATACTTTCTGACTTTGTCTACACTGCAGGGTTTTTGCACAAGAAGCTTTTTGCGGAAGAGATCTTTCGTAAAAACTTCTTGCGCAACAGTGCGTCGCAAAAGCAGAATGGCCATCAGAGCACCTGTGCTTTTTCTGATAGGGGCTCTTTTTGCACAAGAAACCCCTGCGGAGCATCCACACATGCCTTTTTTGTGCAAGAGCTGTAGCGCTAAAAGGAGTTATTCCTCATGGGGAGAGGAATAACTCTACCAGCAAAAGCCCTCTGTCCTGTTGATTTACTGTGTTTTTTTTTGGGGGGAGGTTTGTTTTTTTTTTGAGGGGGGCACAAAAATGCGCTTGAAGTATGGGTACTCCATTGGTTTTTGTGCAAAAACCTTGTAGTGTAGATATAGCCTCTGAGTCTGCAGCAATGGATTTTAGGGAGTACATGGCTCTTTTTCCTTTCTCCAGTACAGTTAGAGGACTTCTTTTCTTGAACTGCTGATTATGCAGCACACTCTCTGTTGGGAAGTGGAGAAGGGCCCCCACCAAATTTTGAGTCCTTCACCTGTGATCTCATCAGATCAAACCCTAGGCCTCTCTGGTTTGGGAATCACCAGCTCTTTGTGTTTTGGGGTGGCGGGAGTGGAATAAACCCTAACCTCCACTCTAATGCATCATCACAGTTGTACAAGAGTTAGGGGATGGGGGGGGGCGGGGCGGATTCCTTCTGCACCCCTGTGATACTTGGTCCTTTGATTCGGGGCGGTTTCCTTTTGCACCCCTGTGATACTTGGTCCTTTGATTTTTGAGCTAGCTAGCGAGCAGCCACACTCACTCCACACATGAAGAACTTCTCTCAACCTCTTTTAGATGGCAGTAATCATGTCTGTTGGTTTTCTTTTAAGCACGTGACTTGCTCTCTTGTTGCTGAAAATGAATTACTTGCCAGCACTGCTCCTACAATAAGTGATGCTAAAGGAAAATGCATTCTTATATAACATTGGAGGCCTCCTCCACTAGCAAGAATGGAGAGCTTTAGTAAGCAATCTTGTACAAAAGTAGACTATCATTGTCATATGTATTTTATCCCAGACTTATTGCAGTGAGTGTGCTAGAACTGTTGGGGTTAGATGTCTGGGGATGGTGTTTGTATTGGGGAGCAAGAGGAATGTAGGAGGTAAGAGGTTTTAGGATAGATTTGGGTGAAGGAATTAGAAATGTCTAAGACCATGTAGAAGTTATGGGGTTTCTTTTCTATAACAGATTTTTATTAAATCAGCTTTGCAAGCTCAGTGAGAATAATACAGCTTGTCTAAATTCCATATATTAGCTCTTTAATGGAGTTGGGAAAAGAGGCCAATCCAGCATGATTAAAGTAACTCTGTATAGGAGCTGTTTTTCCCTTGCATTATTACCTGCTTGCGTAGCATGAGCTGGTTTTATGTGTCATACAAGTCTGAGTTCTCCTGAGCATCAAAGCAGGAACATAGAATTCCACATGTCTAGGTTGTTTTTTTTTTCTTTTGCAGGGTGGTATGTAGTGGCGGTAGGTGGAATACATTGTAAATAAATTGTCACACTTACTGCTTTGCTTTATTTAAAGTGACTTATCTGATTCCGAGTGATGCAACTTTAAAGACTTCTAAAAACAAAGAAACTAAAAAGCACACACAGAACCATCTGTCTTCAGAGTGAACAGTGAGAGGTGTGAGGTATCCAACACAAACAACTGACGGCGACCCTGCCTGCATGCAAGTACCCCATCTGAACTGCATGGGGACTGGGCATGATGAAAAGTGCAAGGTCATCTTAATGCTGTGTGTGGCTTTATCATCATCATCATCATCTCTCTCTCTCCTTTTTCATTTTTTTTGTACTAATGTTTTTATTTCCTCTGTAATCCAACTGCAGTAATGTTACTTATTGATGCTTATCGGTGACACTTACAGTTCTTGTCTTTCAATTCAATCTGTTGAGAACTTGTGTGAAGGGTGACTGTTTTGATACTTGAATGAAATGGGAGAAAGGGGGGATTCTAACTTAAGATGGCTTAAAGTATATAGTCCTCAATTTGAGGAATAGGTGTTAGCTACTGCTGCAGCTGGGTTCTGGCAAGGTGTAGTATCATGTGAGGTATTGGGAGTGCTGAGCCAGAGGCATCATGGAAAATAATCTAGGATTGCAAAAAAAAAAAAAAATTGTTGAAGTAAACTAAAATACACTACAGTGTGCTGTACCAAGAGTAACAAAATAAATCCTGTTTTCTACCCAGGGGTTCTTTGTATCTCAATAAAACAAATTAGATCAGTTTTCCTGGCTGCCACATTCAAATAAGGGAGATGTGTATATCTCTGAGCTGCTGAGCCCTGTATCTTGCTGCAGGCCAGACAAATCAATCTGTATCGAAGCCTGAGAGGAACAGTGGCTAGCAGCTACTATGATACACATCCTTCTCTTTTTTCCTACCCCACTCTGTAATTCCCCAAACACCTGAGGGAGTATGGTGTAATCTGCCTCATGAACCCAAAATATCCAGCAATTCCATTGTCATAATGGCACCACTTTAAAAACAGATCCTGGGGCATATTTAGTGATAGATGAGGCACTTAGCATTGCAGAGGTGTTGGCCCTGTGTGGAAAAGGGAGGTTGTCCATGGAAGAAAGTTCTTTTATTAAGGTCCCATCAATAAAGCAAAAGAATCAACCTGAATCCTAACCAAGACCTGTTAATCAAATCAGTAGGTGAAAAGGAAAAACAGAATGGCTTGCTTCCAGTATAATATTGTAGGGCTGTACTTGTACGCAAGGATATATCAATAACACAGAAATGAAGAGATGGTGTTTTCTGTGTGAGACAAACTCTGCCAGGAGGGTGATTAATAGCAGACACATAGTTGATAAATATCAGAAGGGTATCCATGTTAGTCTGAATCTGCATAAACAACGAGAAGTCCTGTAGCATGTGGCATCTGCATCTGATGAAGTGGGTCTTTGCCCACGAAAGCTTATGCTCCAGTCAATCTGTTAGTCTGTAAGGTGCCACAATACTTCTAGATTAACAATGAGTTAATAAAGAACTTTTGAAAGCCTGCAAAAGGACAAGGGTCTAAATGGAAGACTCAGAATGCATTGCATCTGAAACTTATGAAGCATAGTTTTATAATGCACAAATACTGTGTCTTCGTCTTCCCCAAAGAGATTCCTGCCCTCACATCTTCTTAGTTGAAAGAAGAGGAAAGGGAGCAACGGGGAGAAGCAAACTGTTGCAAACTTTCTTTAAACAAGGCTATAACCAATTAATTTTCAGTGTAGCCTGGCAAAGATTAATGGAGTTTATCCATCAAATGCTCTGCTTGATGTGGCCTTGCAAATGGACAGTGTTTTCATAGTTAATGTGTTTGAACTTTTTTCTAACTAGTTACGAATGTTATGTTTATCTATGTAATAAGATGCCAAGATTTGACACTTTGAAGTCTGTTATGCCTGTAAAGTCATTATGAAGCAATGGAAACTGCTACATAGGAGGTTGAGAGCTCTTTTTATTTTGAACATCATCAGGTGCAGTCATCATTGTTTTGTGATCTATTACTATCATGAGTTCACAGCCATTTTTGGCTTTTTTACAACACACAGCTTTAAAAGTTACATCTATGGGACAGTACAACTATACTTTAGGAAGCTGAAACACTTGAAATTCACTAGGAAAAAAATTCATGAACATTTCCAAACATCTGCAAATGGGTTACTATTCCAAATTTCTAAAATGTCAGGGATATATAAAAACCTGTATAAAGTGCTGCAGGCTCACACACGCTTGTATTACAGATCTAAACCACCTTTTTTGGTGGATTCCTTTTTAGTTTTAAGGGTCTTGATTTTAAAGATGTTAAACTCATATACATTAACGTTAGCATTTATTTCCAGTTAGCTGCGAATTACTGTTCTTTCACAGCCATGTTTGCCATTTGAAGAGAGGTAGATTTGTTTATTTGAATAATAACTGACTAAATTTAAAATGTTATGCTTCATTTAGGTCCTGCCATCATTCTGCATTAGGAACAATCCTAATATGTTTCTCAATAGTCTTAGCTGATATTTCAATAGGTGACTGCAGAGTACGCTGGTAATGCATATGTGAAAATTATCTTTTGTAATAATGCTACATTATCAGCATAATATTCAAGTAATGGGAATAGTTCCATTTGATTTCCAAATTAAATTCTGCAATGTAACATAAACCAAATGAAATATTGATTAGGTTTGACTTTCAAAGAAAGCTATCCATAATGCATCCTATTAGCCATCTGTGCTGATCAGTGCACAAAGTCTGATATTGTGTGTTGCTCAATCTAGGTGATGCAAGGCTGTCTGTCAAGTGTAGTTTTTTTTCCCCCTCAAGTGTGAATTGATTTTATAGTTGGAAAACCTTCATATTGTAATGAAATATCCTGTAAGTTCTCTGAGATAATGGTGGGATCTCTTATTCCCTTATGAATGCAGCTCTTACCAGCCACCATCGTTGTGTTGGGCCAGCACCTTTTTGTCTTAAATTGTGCTGGCTTTGTGTTGTGAGATTATGGCAGACGTCTTTCAATTCTAACAGTCTTTCAGGCATGGTGCTTCAAAGGTTTCTATTCCTTTTAGAGCAAATTACCATGAACTCTGAGATTGTGATAGTCCATGCTATCACTAAGATGGCCATCTTATCAGTGCAGCCTCTTCCCCTTGGAAAAAACATTGTAGTGTCTGCAGTGGAATACTGATACATTCTTTCAGTTGAATTTAGCATTGAAACCTGTTGAATTGACAGTCCTGGGGCCTGAAGTTGTCTAATGGCACAAGTTCAACAAAAAATAACTAAGCAAGCTTTGTGCATAGATTGCCTCATGCTAGTATGTCATATTCCTCACTGAAGTGGATCATCTTTAAGGGGGGGGGGAATTGCCTCTTTGGCCTTATTAGAGAGATTATCATCAAGGGAGCAATTTGATGTGGGTGCCTGTTCAGTAGCCTCTATGAAATGACTAGTGGTTTAAATATGATTTCCCTGAACAGCCATCAGACAGGACTAAACTTTAAAATATCTCTGCTATTAATAGTGCTATCTGTGGGGAACGTTTGCTTAGAAAAGTCTTTTATTCTATAACAAACCAAAAAAAGAAAGTTCTTTTATTAAGGTCCCATCAATAAAGCAAAAGAATCAACCTGAATCCTAACCAAGACCTGTTAATCAAATCAGTAGGTGAAAAGGAAAAACAGAATGGCTTGCTTCCAGTATAATATTGTAGGGCTGTACTTGTACGCAAGGATATATCAATAACACAGAAATGAAGAGATGGTGTTTTCTGTGTGAGACAAACTCTGCCAGGAGGGTGATTAATAGCAGACACATAGTTGATAAATATCAGAAGGGTATCCATGTTAGTCTGAATCTGCATAAACAACGAGAAGTCCTGTAGCATGTGGCATCTGCATCTGATGAAGTGGGTCTTTGCCCACGAAAGCTTATGCTCCAGTCAATCTGTTAGTCTGTAAGGTGCCACAATACTTCTAGATTAACAATGAGTTAATAAAGAACTTTTGAAAGCCTGCAAAAGGACAAGGGTCTAAATGGAAGACTCAGAATGCATTGCATCTGAAACTTATGAAGCATAGTTTTATAATGCACAAATACTGTGTCTTCGTCTTCCCCAAAGAGATTCCTGCCCTCACATCTTCTTAGTTGAAAGAAGAGGAAAGGGAGCAACGGGGAGAAGCAAACTGTTGCAAACTTTCTTTAAACAAGGCTATAACCAATTAATTTTCAGTGTAGCCTGGCAAAGATTAATGGAGTTTATCCATCAAATGCTCTGCTTGATGTGGCCTTGCAAATGGACAGTGTTTTCATAGTTAATGTGTTTGAACTTTTTTCTAACTAGTTACGAATGTTATGTTTATCTATGTAATAAGATGCCAAGATTTGACACTTTGAAGTCTGTTATGCCTGTAAAGTCATTATGAAGCAATGGAAACTGCTACACAGGAGGTTGAGAGCTCTTTTTATTTTGAACATCATCAGGTGCAGTCATCATTGTTTTGTGATCTATTACTATCATGAGTTCACAGCCATTTTTGGCTTTTTTACAACACACAGCTTTAAAAGTTACATCTATGGGACAGTACAACTATACTTTAGGAAGCTGAAACACTTGAAATTCACTAGGAAAAAAATTCATGAACATTTCCAAACATCTGCAAATGGGTTACTATTCCAAATTTCTAAAATGTCAGGGATATATAAAAACCTGTATAAAGTGCTGCAGGCTCACACACGCTTGTATTACAGATCTAAACCACCTTTTTTGGTGGATTCCTTTTTAGTTTTAAGGGTCTTGATTTTAAAGATGTTAAACTCATATACATTAACGTTAGCATTTATTTCCAGTTAGCTGCGAATTACTGTTCTTTCACAGCCATGTTTGCCATTTGAAGAGAGGTAGATTTGTTTATTTGAATAATAACTGACTAAATTTAAAATGTTATGCTTCATTTAGGTCCTGCCATCATTCTGCATTAGGAACAATCCTAATATGTTTCTCAATAGTCTTAGCTGATATTTCAATAGGTGACTGCAGAGTACGCTGGTAATGCATATGTGAAAATTATCTTTTGTAATAATGCTACATTATCAGCATAATATTCAAGTAATGGGAATAGTTCCATTTTATTTCCAAATTAAATTCTGCAATGTAACATAAACCAAATGAAATATTGATTAGGTTTGACTTTCAAAGAAAGCTATCCATAATGCATCCTATTAGCCATCTGTGCTGATCAGTGCACAAAGTCTGATATTGTGTGCTGCTCAATCTAGGTGATGCAAGGCTGTCTGTCAAGTGTAGTTTTTTTTTCCCCTCAAGTGTGAATTGATTTTATAGTTGGAAAACCTTCATATTGTAATGAAATATCCTGTAAGTTCTCTGAGATAATGGTGGGATCTCTTATTCCCTTATGAATGCAGCTCTTACTAGCCACCTTCATTGTGTTGGGCCAGCACCTTTTTGTCTTAAATTGTGCTGGCTTTGTGTTGTGAGATTATGGCAGACTTCTTTCAATTCTAACAGTCTTTCAGGCATGGTGCTTCAAAGGTTTCTATTCCTTTTAGAGCAAATTACCATGAACTCTGAGATTGTGATAGTCCATGCTATCACTAAGATGGCCATCTTATCAGTGCAGCCTCTTCCCCTTGGAAAAAACATTGTAGTGTCTGCAGTGGAATACTGATACATTCTTTC